GAATTCTATATGAACTCAGAGACTCATGTTCATCTCCTTGTTGGGTATAGTTAGCAAGACACTTGCTGGATTGGATGACGTGTATTCTTTTTTCCCAAGCACTGTTAATTGCCATCTAATTATGATCTACATTCAGACCAGCCACATGCTCTGTTGTTCAAAGGACATGAAGGATAAGACTTTAGCTTGGAGTTTTGGGAAGTAAAACATGATTGCCAATGGGAAACATATTGGCCTGCTCCCCTGTTGCTTTCATTTATTATACAGACATTTGCCAGCTTGTCTGAGTATAATTAGACAACATGTTCTAGGAAACTTGGAAATAAAATAATAGTTTTAAAATACTATTTACTAGAGATATCAGTTATTAAAAATCGCATGATATAAAAAGAAGCATTTAGCATTTTTTGACCATTTCTTGTTAAAAGTAGATATTATTGAATATCCTGCTTTATTATTGATGGCTGCTGACCTATCATTCAAAAAAATGATACAGAATATAGAGATGCTGGTTTTTAATTGCAAGTTCTCCTAGCCATCTGTGATGTCCTCCCATAGTAGGAAATCCATGTGCCTAGACCAGGTGCCGGGGTCAAGATGTTTGTTGAGCAATCTGGATCCTGTTGAAATATGGCCTCTTCAAAAATAGTGTTAAGTTGCAGCCTTTTGTCAATCTCTGTCCTTAAAGATACTTAGTTTTAAAGGTATTGCTACATTCCTTCCCATGCTCCTCTTTCCATGCTACAACTGGCAAATACGGCAATGTCTTTGAAAACAGTGGGAAGGAAAAGTATTTCAAAGTCTTAATTTCTTTTTGAAAAAAACCTGTCTATTTTTGACATGTTTTGTTTCCATTTCTCACCTTTCTATTTAACGCCCATCCACTATGCAAGAAATGTTATGGAGTGAGAAGATGCCATTTAATTGTATTTCTCAACTTACAGAGAAAGGAAGATGGGAGGAGAACGATGATGAATTGGAGGAATTTTTCAAATGCACTCAGTGTCCGAATGAGGTAAGCAACAGAAACCATCTGATTCATATTAACCACCTGCAGGAGTAATCCATAGATAAATGCATTTCAATTGGGGGGGGGGGGGGGGGGGGTTTGGGGGGTTTGGGGGGGGGGGGAGCGGAGGTGGGGGGGGGGGGGGGGGCGGGGGGGCTGGGGGGCCCCTAGGGCTTTATGGGGCTAGGGGGGCTGGCTACGGCGCGGGTGGGGGGCTTTAGGGTGCGGGGGGCTGGGGTAGGGGATTTAGATTTCAAGCTCATTATGGAAAGTATTACTACCACCTCCCTACCCCACCACCACATTAATTTAGGGAATCATTGTTATTATTAGTTTTATTTATACCCCCACATTTCTTTCTGTGGTGACTCAAGGTGGCTAATAAACATACAATCTAACGACAATATAATTTGTGGAAGACCAACTGGTATGGTGCCATTCTGATCTCTCTTGGATGGGACTTTCAAAGTCAGAGAGCAACCACCAAAAAGGCCCTCTCTGTGGTTCCCACCAAACGCACTTGAACAGATGGTAGGATAGAGAATGCCCTCCCCAGATTATCGTAGATATTTGACAAATGCTTAAAGATACGATCATTCAAAATTATTTTCATTGGGCTCACCCAGACTTGTGATTAGTGTCGATTTATAATACATGTAAACTTGCTCAATAATAATAATAATAATAATCAACTTTACATGTATTATAAATCCCAACATAGTTAAATCATATAATAATCTTAAACATTACATAAAACATACATATTAAATTGGATTAAAATGAATACCAAATAAATTTATTAGAATGCACAGAACAAACATTAAAATATGATGGACACAGGATGTGAGTTAAAATGTGTAGTTAAAATTGACTAGGTTGGGTTTGCTGGAAAAAATAGGTTTTTGGGTGAGTTTTAAATTCCAACAGCTCAGTTGGCTGTCAGATCTCTTCCGGCAGGTCATTCCACATCTATAACAGCATATATTAACACATAGTTAAAACCTTGGTGTATCTTGTTGAGTACCCATCCAAACATTCTCCATTTTAAGAAAATAACTCCAGTAGAAAGATAACATGTTAGCTTCTTGTTGCTTCCCCAGGCATGGCATGAATTGTCATGTTAGATGTAACTGTGTCCAGTCTTTTCATTTATTTATTTCTGGCATTTGTATCCCGTCTCTTCTCTACCCCCGAAGGGGGACTCAGGACAGCTTACATTAGTAACAGTGCAAGACTGCTACATCACAATTACAATAATATGACACAATCAAATACAAAACAATCATTAAAACCAATACATATAGCATTAATTAAAACAATAAAACAAAGTTTTATATACCCCACCCACAATTGCATTTCTAGATGTGTGGCAGAAGTTGGGCTCTTAGGGTCATGTGGATGCTGACCTGACCATGGCAGGTGCAGAAGAACCTTTTCTAACTAAGAGGGATGGGGCTCAGGTCAAGAGATCTCTGGTGTGGGAACAAGATTGCTTCAACTTCAGATGAGAAGGCTGTGTCAATGAGGACTATTGTGTTACAGGATCTTACAATAAAAATTCAACCTGAATGGCTTTGGTACCATATAGAGGGCCATGATATATACAGGTAAGCACCTTGAACATTTGTCTTTGACCAGTGGTTTTCAAACTTTTTATCTTTCTGGTATGTTTTCTGCATTGAATGTCTTCCATTCAGAATATGTTCAGTTTACCTGGGTTCCTTAGTGACCACATAACGATAAAGATAGGGCTCCTTCCAAGCCCTAAAAGGGAATTTTGGGACAAAACAAAATATTTTGCATGCAGCCTACAGGCTGTATTTTACCCACCTCTACTTTACACCTTTCATTGGCCTTTTCTTCTAGTCTAGTAGAGGACAGGGTTGAGGTTCCTCTCTGGGCTCAGATAACTGTATACCTGGCAAAACCTAGCATGTCAGTTTCTTGCTTGGATGTGTCTCATGCAAATAAACCAAGAAACGGGTAATTCAAGTAGTGCTGAAGTTCTACTGAATAGATTTAGATGAGAAGCAGATTAACCTTTTGTATACGTTGCAATGTGATCCTAGAGCACGTCAAATCCCTTGCAAAAATATATCGAGTGAGATGGCATAGAAAGCTACACAGATTCCTGTTCTAAGTCCCTTTCCCTCTTGTGCTTCTTTTTATTGTTTTCAGATTGAATTGTATCAAAGCTGGTTCCTTCCGCTGCTGTGTAACTGACCTGATATTTGATGTGAATGCACCTGTCACTCTCATCTACTACTTTGATTCATGGTCACAGAATCTTAATGAGGAGCATAGAAAGCAGTGGGAAATTGTCGGCCCTTTGCTCAACATCCAGGCATATCCCAAGGAGGCTGTGGCAGCCGTTCACTTTCCTCACTTTCTTTGTCTTGAAGGTAGAACAGGGCACAGAATTTGAATATACATCAGTATAACTGGAGGAATATTAAAGAGGAGAACCTACTAATCGTTGCATCCTGGCAGATTTCCTAGTAAAAGCCCAGTTTCATATACCAGCTTAGAATAGTAATTTTTAAAATTAACTCATTTGTACTGATTTTAATACCAACTTATAATGTCCTGAGCCTGATGCTTTGCTGAAATAGGCTTCCTGTGTATTCCTTTGGCAGGTAAAGGCTGTTCTAAAATCTATCTGGCACATTTTGGTGAACAGGGGATGAGCTTGGAGAAACCAGACTCAGTGGGGCCATATCATGTGGAATTGAAGAATCTCACACCCTGTTCTTGTGGAGCTGTTCTCAAGAAGTCATGGTTTGAAGGAAAGATCAAAGCTCATGCAGTAACTCTGCTGTATTATGAACATAAATTCGGATACACAACATTACGCTTCTATCTCCTTCCCAATGACTCTTCTCTAAAACAGGTGACTGGGAACTTCTAACTTTCCTCGATGTTCCAAATTAAGTAGATCATATTGGATGGCAGGAAGAATCTTGCATCAGGTTATGTGATTGTGGTAGTTTCCCTGAAAGTGATTTCAAATATCAGAGATCAGTAGTTCAGAAGTAAGAGCTGTGAATATATTGTACACAGGTCACAGTAGGTAGCTTCCGCTGGAAAGTGTATCAGTCTTTAGTGGAACATGTAGCCAGTGTCTTCTCACAGCTAAGTCTCCAGCGAGAACCACACTTCCCGTAAACTCAATCCTCAAAAGTTCTGTAGTAGAGTTGTTGGGGGTTCAAAGTAGGCCTCCTGTTCACATGGGCCAGTGTCACCATCCCACTTTGCCCATGCTTTGTATGACAAGGAAAGGAGATGTCACTTACCTATGTGGTTTCTTGTTGCTATATCAGAATCCTTTCCAAATCATGCAGACAGCTTTGTTTCTTGTTGCTGTATTAGACTTCTCCTTTAAACCCAGTCCTCTCCAAGTTATGCAGATATCTATCTTTATTTTATACCGTGCCACCATCTCCCTGAAGAGACTCAGGACGGCTTACAAGGGGAAGAAGCCAAAAAAAATACAGATTAAAACAAACATAATAAAATAAAATCAGCAACAACACATCAACACAAACAAGCATATTTAAAACAATATTAATATCATGGCTGGACAATTAGGTACTGACATGAAGAAAGGAGTCCAATGATGGCTAGTTGCTCACTGAAGCCCTCTGTCTCGGGGCGCCACTGCTACACCTGCCATGGTTTGAGACCAAAATGGTGTAAACACCATGGCAGAATCTGGGGCTGGTTTGGACCAGTCCTGGATTTTGTGGCCCCTGTAGATGGCCCCTTAGGCCTTATGATTTGCTCAGGATGCATAACATGTCTCCATGCTAACATATGACATTTTGATTGTGCCCCAAATGTGGGAGGAGTTTATTTGAAAATGGCTCCAGATTCATACCATATTTGAATAGCTGGAGATGGTAAAATGCTTTTTCCAGAGAAGGCAGTAATAGAAAAGAGTTGGGGGAAGAATTGAAGAACGATGATTTTCACAGTTCAGATGAAATTTTATAATGCACAATGGTCTCGGTCCAACATCTCAAGTGAGTATATGGTTCAGTGTAGCATAGGTCCATATCTGGATACATGTTGACCTATGCTACACTGAGCCATATACTCTCCTTCATCTAAGTGTAAAGTCCCTGAAGTCAACATGCATAGCTATTTGATGCTTTGCCAAGAGTAGGCAGAATTGGTAAAGCATCTGGGTTCTCAGAAATGAAGAAAAAAATGAAGAAAAAGCAAAATCATGCAAGAATGGTTACGTTTTTGAGTTGCTGAAATCTTCCAGTAAAATAGACAATTCAAAAGTTCAGGAGTAGTTAAGGTTCGGCTCATGTACTAAGCTGATTAAGCACTTCAGCAACCTTGTATGCTCTGAGAGCTTCTATCCTCACCACTCTACAAGGACACATTTGCAACACCAGACCAGTCCCTTAGGACCTTAGTGTCTCTCTGCATGTCTCAAAACTGATCTTGTTCTCCCTTCCCAGGCTGTCAATGAGCGTGAATTACTGTCTCATAAAGTTCAATGTCCATCCCAGACCATGCAGCCTCTGATTATTGGCTCCGACTTCGTTCTGAAAAGCACGTCTGGTTTCTCCATCTATCCAAAGGTGAGATTCAGAGACAATGATAAGCTTTGCCATCATAACAACTTTGCATTGCTACCAGTTTAGGATTCAGTTATATATATTATAGAAAGGGATTATTTTTTATTTATACAGTACAGTATTAGATTTTGGCCCAGGTTCTTCCCAATCAAAAATGCAATAGTGTTTTATTAAGAGGAAAAGCTGAGCTATTTAAAAAGCTGTGAGTGAAACAATATTGATACGCTCTGAACTCTCACTTCCACAGAAAGAGAAACTGCAGTTTAAATATCCACCTACAGATAGACATATTCAATACCTTGAATTATATCTAGAGTTCATGGAAGATGTACTAGAACTTGTCCTGCTCGAAGACGACACAAATGATTTAGTATGGAAGGCCTTCATTAAAAAGGGTGAGCTTTGACCAAGGGAGGAATTCATAATTAATCCAAAGTATGGAATTTAGTATTCAGAAAACTATTTCACCCAGATTTTTCTCTCTGACGCTCTCCTTTTCCTTTTTCATTTCAGAGGAATTGATGCATGCTAATTTCCATTTCATGATAGGTGAGTCAGGCTCTGTGGGTATCTCTTGTGCTTGAAGATGCAAAACATGATTGTGTGAGGGACTCACCCCAACCCACTAGCTCTGGAAGGTCAATTACAGTCTTGATTTGGCCTTGGAGCGCATTGGTCAAGATTTTGCATCAAGTGAGAATTTCCTCCTTCTCTCTTCCCTTCCCCACCAGTAAGAAGCAGTATTGTGCAGTAAGGCATTGTTATCTTCATTTTCTCGACCACAAACACATATCTGCCTACGTTATTGTCTATATACTTTATAGATCACAAACAAAACATGGAAGAGATCTTTGATTTTAGAACAGGCAGTTTCAGCAAGAAGACCCTCCCCTCCAAACAGCTAAGGGACAACCCACGTCTAAAAATCACTAGAGATGGTATGTCCTTTTAAATTATGGAATGAGCTGCCAGAAGAAATTAGAGCAGCCCTCTCCTTGATGTCCTTCAGAAAAGGAGTGAAGACCTTCCTGTTTAACAAAGCTTTTAATTGATTTTATTGAGTCCTGCTATTATGGTTATCTATTTGATAGTTCTACTATTTTAAGGCTTTTCTATTTTTATGTCTTATTTATATATAGTTACTTTTATGTCTTATTGATATGGTTGATGTTAGGATGTGATCTTGTAAGCCGCCTTGGGCCCATTGGAGAAAGGCGAGGTAGAAATGTCCAAAATAAATACATAAACAATGACAGCATTTGTCCATCCACATTAGTATTTGCCAACTTTGCACACAAATGCAGCATATAGGCATCCCTTTGGTTTCTTCAGACTGTTTTGTGAAAGCACAAAACAATGGTCTCTTGTGCTTCTGCCTTGTCGAAATCCAGCCTGTTCTTCTGCAATGATATTATTCTCCTTTGTTAAATAAATCAGCTATGTGATTTATTTAACAAAAACCTACCATAGATCTTTCACACTATGTCCAGCATACTAACAGGTCTGTAATTGTGAGGGTCAGTTCTGTTGCCCTTTTTATATAGTGGGACAATTATACTAGTCTTCCATCCATTTGGTATGATTCCTGTCTAGTTGATATGTGTAGACAGTTTGGCCAGGATAGAAGCACACCAGGTGATGTTGTATTTAAACAATTCAGGGGCTTTTCCTGATTTTAATTTTTGAAGCAGGCCTTTATCTTCCTCTGGAGTAACTGGTGGCCATATAAATAAAATGTACCATATATACTCAAGTATAAGCTGAGTTTTTCAGCCTTCTTAAAACTGAAAAAGCCTTCCCATGGCTTATAGTCGAGCCACGGCTATTTATTATTTTACTCTGCTGTTATTATTTCTATTACATTTATTATTTAACTCTATTTATTATTATTACAGTTACATTATTTTACTTATTATTACATTCATTATTTTATTATTATTACATTTACTATTTTTCTATTTGTTATTGTTATATTATTTCATTATTTATCTATTATTATTATTATTATTACATTTATTATTTTACTTCTATTATTGGAAGGATACGTAAGCACATTTACACTGAAGAAGGTTAGAATAATGGTTTAATCAGTTGGACAGTCTTATCTTAAATTACAGCTATATGTAAATATTCAAAAACATTTAACCTACTGATGCCTTGATTAATGTAATTTTATTGGTATCTATTTTTATTTTGAAATTTACCAGTATGCTGCTGCATTTCCCACCCTTGCTTATACTCCAATTAGTCAATAGGTTTTCCCAGTTTTTTTGTGCTAAAATTAGGTGCCTCGGCTTATATTCAGGTCAGCTTATACTTGAGTATATATGGTATATGTTCAAATTATTGATGGCTCAGTGGTGAAGACTAGGTTCTGGCCAACTTTTTGGATCATTTATTTATTGATTTATTTATTTATTTGACTTGTATACCGCTACTCCCAATTTGGCTCGGAGCGGTTTACAGCAGAGATTAAAACAATACAATTAACTTTAAAATACAATAAAAACAAGAACAGACATAGTCCCGAGTTATTCACCCATCAAAAGCTTGTCGGAAGAGAAAGGTTTTACAGGCTCTCCAAGTCCACATTTAGGGATTCTAAGTGTTTCTCTTCATTATGATGCCCCAGGTCTAAAAACATTCCCTTCCATTGGCTTTGTAAATGATCATAAAGGCAAGTTCTTTTTTTACTTATTTATTTATTTATTTACTTTACTTTACTTTACTTATATACCGCTGTTCTCAGCCCGAAGGCGACTCACAGTGGTTCACAACAAACAAGAACAGCAAAAATTCAAAATAAATGTTACTAAATTTGACTGGAAGATCGATTTGCTTTTGAGGTTAACATCAACAATCTTCTCCATACTGTGAACTTTCGCCTCATTGTGAAGAAGAAAATCATTCCAAGGGTGTGACAACAGTTTTATTAACATTTACTAATTTACTAATATTGGTGAAATAGTAAAGAAGACAAAAGGAACTCTTGAAGATTATAAAGACAATAACAATAAATCATGTTAAAAGATATGTTGCATTCCTTCTCCTGCTCCCCTTTTCTGCTACAACAGGATAACACCACCATCCCTTTACAAACAGTGTGAGGGAAAGACATTCTAAACAATTTATCATAACTGAAAATCTATCCTTTACATTCTCTGTTTCCATCCCATCCCTTCCTGTTTAGTGACTATCCACTATGCAGAGAGTATTATGTAGCAGGGAGTTGTCATTTAAATGTATTCCCCTTTTTGCAGAAAAAGGAATATTTGAGGAGAACACTGAAGAATTAAATATATTTTTCAAATGCAGTTGCTGTCCGATTTTGGTAAGCTGAAATCATCTGATCCATATTAATTGTGTATGGGAGTAATGCACAGATAGAAGCATTTTTAATGGGAGCTATGGGATTTAGCTTTAGAGCTCACTGTGGGGAGGCTCACTATCACCCGCTCACCCCCACTACCACCTCCATGGACTTATTTAGATTGGGCTCATCCAAGCTAGTAATTAGTGCTGATTTATAACACATTTAAAGTTGCTCCTTAAAACTTTGTGTTTTTTGTTGAGACTTCATCCAAACACTTTACTCCAATAGAAAAGTGACATAGTCCCTTTTTATTTAAGGGCATCTTGTTGCATCTCCAACAATGGCATGAATTGTCAGGTTAGATAAAGGTGTGTCCAGTCGTCTTACATCTCACTTCATAGAGTTGGGTTTCTAGATGTGTGACAGAGGGTGGGCTCTTAGGGTCCCATGAACACAGACCACACCACGTATAGCGGAACCTTTTCTGACTGGAAGGGATGGAGCTCAGGCCAAAAGATCTCTCTTAATTGCTCTAACTTCAGATGAGATGGCTACATCAAAGCCGACTATTTTGTTACAGAATTTTGCAGAAAACATCCAACCTGAAACACTTTTGGACCCTCAAGGGGGCTACAATATGTACAGGTGAGCACATGAATATCTATTTTTGGCCAGTGGTTTTCAAGCTTTTTAAAAAAATTCTGGTCTGTTTTCCCTCAAAATGCAGAGGCAATCACTTCAAAAGGCAAAAAACATGAGATTTCCAGGTACGGGAATATTGTGGTTTTGAGCCAAATACGCAGATATTTGTAAGTCTGTATGTCCCTGAAATCAATACAAGGAATTCTTTTTATCTGGATTTGTTCCTAGTTTTAGATACTTGTTCCTGATTGGGCAGTTCCTAAAAAGAAGATGACATTTGAGTATAAGGCAAAAACTTTGTCCTGGGAAGAGGAACTTCATCCTTCACATGTTTAATGAAGTTTGTAGCAGAAAAATGAAGTTCTTGGGGTGCAACAAGTATTTTCACATTAAGTAGTACACAATGAAACAGGAATGGACACTTTCAAACCTGGAACAAAATGTCATCATTACTGTAATTACTCAGACCTGGTATGGCTATCTGTGCAGACAAGTTTCATAGTGTACTTGTACCCGGGAACAACAGGATGATATTGCTGGGTTATACATGGTGGTTTCTCATTGGGTGTATGCTGACAGCATGGGTACAGTTTAGTAAATGGCAAAAACGTACTACTGACTGTTGGAACATGGATGTGCTGGAGGGGAATGTAAATACGGAGAGCCAAGGTTTTGCAGGTGGCTAATAGGAACAGCCATGTATCACCAGCAACAACACCCTATTCTTCCATGTCACAAGTACACAACTAAATCTGTCTGGACAGATGGCTAGGCAGCTAGGCTCTAAAAAAACACCAATAATGACAAATTTCTGTTCCTGGCTTGAAAGTGTGTGTCCTGTTTGATTGTGCAGTGCTTACTCGGGCAGAAGTGGTCCTACCCCATTAGGTTTGTTTGTGTGTCAGATACTTCACGAAACATCTGGAGGGCACCGTTTCGCTGGCCAGGACAAAGAATGGAACTTTTGGAGTGATCTGCATATCCAAATCTCCACATATCTACATCCCACTGTTTTTTTAAAAACAGTGGAAGTCCCATGGCAGCCATCTTGGGAGCCTCTAAATCTCAAAAAAGCATCAAATTTGGACAACATAGGCAGAAATCCTGGGACCAACAGGTCTGTATGTGGACCTCTGGTGTCCTGGGATTTTTTTGCCCCTGTTTAAAACCTGTGATTTAGTGCTGTCAGGAAGTGCCCTCAGATAACTGTATACTTGGCTAAGAGGCAAATTCTACTGGTCATTAACTTACCTGTATCTCATTCAGATGAACAAAAGAAACAGATAATTCAAAAAGTTATTTCATATAAGTTGCAATGTGATCCTAGAGTACCTCAGATCTCTTGGGAAAATATCAGTTGAAACTATATGGATCCCTGCTCAAAGTCTCTTTCCCTCTTGTCTTTCTTTTTATTGTTTTCAGATTGAACTGCACCAAGACTGGTTCCTTCCGCTGCTGTATTACTGATCTGATATTTGATGTGAGAGCAGCTGTCACCTTCACCTACTACTTTGATTTATGGTCAAAGTATCTCAACGAAGAGCATAAAAAGCAGTGGGATATTGTGGGGCCTTTGCTCAACATCCAGGCAGATGCAAAGGAGGCTGTGGCAGCCGTTCACTTTCCTCACTTCCTTTGTCTTCAAGGTATAACAGGACACAGAATTTGAATATACATAAGCACAACTGGAGGAATCTTAAAGAGAAGAACTAACTAATAGCTGTGTGCCTGCAAATTTCCTAGTAAAAGCCCAATTTAGAATATTATTTTTAAAAGTGAACACATTTGTATTTGTCCTAAGACTAATGTAAGATTCACCTTGCGTTTTATGCATATTTTAACAATAATAGCAACTTGTATAGAACCAATTACTGGGAAGGAGTAGTCTCACTCTTTAAGCAGAGGCTCTGAGCTTTCTTCATCAAGTTAGGAGTTCATCTAAATGTTTACAAAGGTCCTTTCCATGATATTACAAGAAGATACCAATATACAGGCAGCTCCCAAGTTACAAGCATCTGGCTTATATATGATTCATAATTAAGAACGGGGGTGAGACAACAGGAAGTGAGCTAAATCCAAGTTCACTCTTGGAAGAGTCATCATGGAGAAAAGATGCCTTCACTGAAGCTTCCTCACCAATCCTTGTTTCCCCAACCAGCCACATTTTTCAAAGTCCAATCATCACAGGGACAGAAAGTGAATGAAATCTTCTGAACAGAGACACAGACTGCAAACCAAACACCACATGTGTGATAACCCTTGCCTTTGCTATCCACAGCTTTAAAAGTATGCATTTTGGTTGGAGTTACACTTCAAAATGTACCTGTTCCGACTTACAAACAAATTCAACTTAAAAACAAACCTACAGAACCAATCTTGTTCATAACTTAGGAACTGCCTGTATATGTATGACACCCAGCCCTCCCTCCTTTTCTTTCTCTTTACCACCATTTAGAAAGGTCTGAGATCAGCAAAATACAAGATGAACAAGATCTGCTTTTCTGGTTTTAATGGATTCATTTCAATTGGTTCAGCTCGAGGATGTGGACAAGATCCTTGGAGAGGCGAGGCCTACCACATGCATCCTAGACCCCTGCCCATCCTGGCTGATCAAAGAAGCCAGAGGGGGTTTGGCAGAGTGGGTTAAGGTGGTGGTTAATGCCTCCTTACAAGAGGGCAAGATTCCAGCCAGCCTAAAACAGGCTGTTATAAAACTGCTGTTGAAAAAACCATCACTGGACCCCACTCAATTAGTCAACTATTGGCCAGTTTCCAATCTTCCCTACTTGGGCAAAATCATGGAACGTGTGGTGGCCTCGCAACTCCAGGGGTTCTTAGTAGACACTGATTATCTAGATCTGGCACAGTCTGGCTTTAGGCCAGGACATGGCACTGAAACAGCCTTGGTTGCCTTAGTAGATGATCTACGCCGGGAGCTAGACAGGGGGAGTGTTTTCCTGTTGGTTCTGCTGGACCTCTCAGCGGCCTTTGATACCATTGACCATGGTATCCTTCTAGGACGCCTCACAGAAATGGGACTTGGTGGTACTGCTCTGCAGTGGCTCCAGTCCTTCCTGGAGGGTCGGTCCCAGAGGGTGTTACTGGGTGACACCTGTTCCCCTCCACAACCATTGTCTTGTGGAGTCCCTCAGGGTTCAGTACTGTCCCCGATTTTATTTAATATCTACATGAAGCCACTGGGAGAGATCATCCGGAGTTTCAGAGTAAGGTGTTATCTGTACGCAGATGACGTCCAACTCTGTCACTCCTTCCCACCTGTTACTAAGGAGCCTGTCCAGGTCCTGAACTGGTGCTTGGCCGCTGTGATGGACTGGATGAGGGCAAACAAATTGAAATTGAATCCAGACAAGACAGAGGTACTCCTGGTCAGTCACAAGGCCGAACAGGGCATAGGGTTACAGCCTGTGTTGGATGGGGTCACACTCCCCCTGAAGACGCAGGTTCACAGCTTGGGAGTGATCCTGGACTCATCGCTGAGCCTGGAACCCCAGGTTTCGGTGGTGGCCAGGGGAGCTTTTGCACAGTTAAAACTCGTGCACCAGCTGCGCCCGTACCTTGGGAAGTCTGATCTGGCACGGTCATCCACGCTCTGGTTACATCCCGAATAGATTACTGCAACGCGCTCTACATGGGGCTGCCTTTGAAGACGGTTTGGAAACTTCAGCTAGTCCAACGGGCGGCAGCCAGATTACTAACTGGGGCGACATACAAGGAACATACTCCCCCCTGTTATGCCAGCTCCACTGACTGCCGGTCCATCTCCAAGCCCAATCCAAAGTGCTGGTTTTGACCTATAAAGCTCTATACGGTTCTGGAACACACTCCCAACAGAGGTAAGATCGACTCCCTCCCTCCTGGCTTTCTGAAAGAAAATAAAGGCATGGTTTTGGGACCAGGCTTTTGGACAATAGATGTAGCAGCACTTTAGACGGACATGACTGCAACAACGATATGGCTGATGAGACTGTTTTAATGATTGCTTATGTATTGTTTAACTATGATTTGTGTCCAATTGTGATTTTATTATTGTAATTGTCATGTAGCGGCCTCGTAACAGGGCATATGGTAAGCCATCCTGAGTCCCCCTTCGGGGGTTGAGAAGTGACGGGATACAAATTGCTGCCAATTTATAAGCCGCCTTGAGTCACCTATGGGCTGAGAAAGGCAGCATAGAAATACTCTAAATAATAATAATAATAATAATAATAATAATAATAATAATAATAATAATAAAAATACAGTCTGCACATTATGGTTGCTTAGAACCCTTAGGTTCTACTTGAAATTCCAGAGTTCCATCATCTGGAATCCTGGGCTTTGTAGTTTGAAGGTGAGCTTTGCAAGCCTCAGCCAGTGGACTCTAGCATTTTACAAAATTACAACCCCCAGGGTTTCATACAAGACAGCCACAGAAGTGGAATCATAATGTCAGATGACTATTAAGAAGCTATCAAAGCATACAAAAAAGAGAGTTCAGTGTTTATTCAAACACAAGATGTAGCATAAGGTATTTCTATTGTTATGTTTTGAACCAGGACTGTGTGAGCTAAAGGCGTTAGTAATGAAAGAGCTTTTTCCACATCCAGTGTCCTGAGCCAGCTGCTGTGGCTAGAATAGGTTTCCTCTGTATTCCTTTGTCAGGTAAAGGCTGTCCTGACATCTATCTGGCACATTTTGTTGAAGAAGGCATGAGGTTGGAGAAGCCAGATTCAGTGGAATCATATCATGTGGAGTTGAAAAACCCTGCATTCTCTCCTCGTGGAGTTGTTTTCAAGAGAACATGGTTTAAACGAAAGATAAAAGTCCATGCGGTGGCCCTACTGTATCAAGACCTTCGAGTCCAAAGCATGAAATTACACTTCTACCTCCTTCCCAATGACTCTTCCTTGAAAAAGGTAATTGGGAACCTCTAACTTCCCTTGTTGACCGAAAGGTTGCAGGTTCAAATCCGGGGAGTGGCGTGAGATTCTGCTGTCAGCCCCAGCTTCTGCGAACCTAGCAGTTCGAAAACATGCAAATGTAAGTAGATCAATAGGTACCGCTCCAGCGGGAAGGTAACAGCATGCCACGCAGTCATGCTGGCCACATGACCTTGGAGGTGTCTACGGACAACGCTGGCTCTTCGGCTTAGAAATGGAGATGAGCACCAACCCCCAAGTCGGACACGACTGGACTTAATGTCAGGGGAAAACCTTTACCTTTTTTTACTTCCCTAGGTATTGCAAATGCGACAGAGCATCCTGGACTGGCATGGCAAACCTTGCATCAGGTCATGTCCTCATGATAACCTCTGTAAAAGTTCTCTTCAGAAGTCAGTATCTTAGAAATAAGGGCTTTGAATTGATTGTAAGCCAGTCATAGTACATAGCTTCTGCTGGCAAAAAGTGTATAGCTTTTGGTAGAACATGTAGTTGGTCTTCTCACAGCTATGTTTCAAATAAGAACCATACTTCCTATAAACTAAAGCTTGTTGAAGCATGCAAGGAATCAGTGTGTGGGTGTGTGTCAACTGTAAAATCAGATGCATGAAACTGATTGGTTGGGCAATGCCCGGGGAGCAAGCTGAGCCTGGGACTTTTGGGTGCTGTTACATTTTTGTTCAGGCTTGAGCTATGCAAGTGCAGAAAGAGAAGCAGAAAGAGAGAGTCTGGAGTATGCTCTCGCTTCATAAGCTGCTGAAAGAGTTTATTTACATGGACAAAGAAAGACTATTTCAAATCTCTCATAAAAGTACATTATTTGAGTTTGTGCAACTGATCATATTGCACATGTGTTGTTCTGAACTAAGAAGAGTAAACTATTTGTTCTTTACTGTTCACCTGCATGGTATATTTTCTTTCTCTAGCAAGGCAGTGTGTGGGCTGACAAACACAAGTTTGCAACACCAGAACATACTTTTAGGACCTTGTGCATAAAGTAAACTCTCACTGCCTGTCTCAGAAGTGATCTTGTTCTCTCTTCCAGGCTGTCCATGAGCTTGAACTGAACTACTCTTCACAAAGAATTCGGAAACCACCTGAGATCCAGAAGGCTCTGATGATTGGTTCCTGCTTCTCTCTGCAAAAGATGACTGATGTCACCATCTGTCCAGAGGTGAGACTCAAAGACTGCATTTTTGCCACTCTGCCAACCAAAGAAGTAAGGTAGGAATGCAAACCTTGCCTTTTCCTACAAGGGTTTGAATGTTTATTTGCATGAAGAGGTTATTCTTTAATTATATTAGATTTTGGCTTAAGTTCTTCCCAGTCAAAAGACCAATAATGTTTTGTTAACACGGAAGGCTGAGCTAGGTGAAAAGCTATGAGCAAAGCAATAGTGTCGTGCACTGAACCCTCACTCACTTCCACAGGACTTGAAGTTTAAATACTTGGATGCAGACATGGAACAACAGTACCTTGAATTACATGCTAAAGACATGAAAGATGAACTAAATATTTTCCTGATTGAAAAGGACACGAATGAAATAGTCTGGATAGCTGTCATAAGAAAAGGTGAGTTTTGGCCCAGGGTGGAATCCATAACTCGGTGGGATTTAAGGTTCAGAAAACTACGCCACTCAAATTCTCTCTCTTTTCCTATTTTCTTTCAGAGGACTTGAAGTCTACTATTTCACCTCCCATAGAAGGTGAGGAAGACTTTTGGGCATGTCCAATGCTTGAAGATGCAAAATATGTTTGCACGAGGGACTCACACCAGCCTAGGAGCCCAAGGTCAATTGCAGCTTTGATGTGGTCCTAGAAGGAGCAAGATCCTAGCAATGTGCTCCACCATGTTGCCTTGATCTGGTCCTAGAAAGTATGGTTAAGATCCTACATCAAGTGATCGTGGCTTGTATTCACCTCCAACCTATTAGCTATCAAGACACATGCATGGTCACTATAGTGGCTCCTTACTGGAGAAGAGCGGGGAGGCTACAATTGGATCAGAAGACCATAGCCGTGACATTGTAGCAATTTCAGGCTATGTTTTTTGTGTGTGTGTTGGAGAAGGAAGAGCAGCTCCATGTACTTTAACTTTCTTATTTAAATTCTCCTTTCTAATTATAGACTTTGAAACTGACACATTCTGCTTGTAACCAGGGCTGTACCTAGATCCCATTCTCTTCCACAACAAGGATTAAAACTCAGCTGATCCCCCACACCCCAACCCAGCAATAGTAGTCCCACCAATAATAGCCTTCTCAGTTCTCAAAGAAAACTATTGTCCTCATTTTCTAAACTGTAAATACATATTTT